ACACGAAGAAATATTTGTTTGTTCGTGTTCGGCTCGTTTTGGCTCGAATATTGCTAATCAATTATATATGTATCTATCTATCTTTGATAAGTAGTATTTAAAAAAAAAATAATTGACTACAAGGTTACAAAGATTTGTAATCAATTAAAAGTATTAATTTAGAAAGTAAAATAAAAATTATTAATTTAGATTCAAAGGATGTTTTAAATCTTGCCTCAATCCTTAACATCTTATGACTACATGATTACGGTTGTCAAAATGATTCTTTGTTCGTGAACAACTCAATAAACGAGTTGAACACGAGCTGAGCCTGGGTTCGCTCGTGTTCGGCTCGCTTACACCCCTACAAATATGAAATATCCTGAACATTTGTTAAATGTTTTTTGATGGACCGTATTTTCTTAAATCGGACGATGCTAATCTTTTCTTAAAAGAAATGATCTCAGTGCTTTTAAATGCATTTACGTACAATTAACCTAATTCCCATATATTTACATATCGAACACCTGAGCTTTACTTGTTTATGTTTATATCACCCAAATCTTTTCACATCAAATGTATAATTATGTTAACTTTCAAAAATAGAAATATACGTTCAAGCATTAGCTAAGTTGGCATATATATATATGTATATATATATATATGTAAAATTTAAATTTTAGGCGTTAGATTTGTAAATGCGAAGAATTGTTATGCAAATCTTTTTTTATTTGAATAATTTTTATTAACTGATGTAATGGTACAATTAGAGTATAGTTTGCTTGGATTTAAAGCATGCATTCAAATCATTAATTTCTAATCTAATTATCACTAAGCAAAACTTCCATGTAGTCTTTATTTATTTAAATATCTGACAGTTATGACATTTAAATATCACAAATTTTTTTCATTGAAAAATTGTAGTTATTTTTAAAAGGAAGATTTACATATATACCACTTAATTCTTATGTATTTACATATCTAACACCTCAACTCCAATTTTACACGTCATCTTATCTATAATCGTAAAGCTCTATTTCAATTTCTGAAAATTAAAATCATATTATTTTTTGCAGGATGAAGATTTGGCGGGCGCAAATGTAAAAAATAAAGCCTAGGTGTTAGATATATAAATACATAGGAATTATGTGGTATGTATGTAAATGCTCCTTTTTAAAAAGAGTGCCGAACACCTGAAAAAGTCGATAGAGAGACTTCCCCCGACCGTAAAAAGGTAAGATTTACATATCAATCTTTACATACAAGCCATATCATCTGTCTGAAATGAATTGGGTGATATGCATGTAAGTGCCAAAAAGATAAAAGATGATGTTGATACTTGTGCGTGACATTAAATATAAGTTATAGCCGTTAAACATGTAAATACATGAAATGTACACCTTCCCATGCCATAAAAATCTTCCCTTCATAAGCTAAAAACAACATAACATCTCTTCACCAATAATCCCCACAAGAGCACGCACCCTCCTTGAACACATGAAATCTGCTCCGGTCCCTCATCACAATCTCTCTGCAATAAACTCTGGAGATGAGCTTCGACACAGTGTGGCAATCTGTACAGGCCCGAAGGTTCTTAACAACTCTAATGGCTTCTCCAGGACTTGCACACAGGAGACCAAACGCAATGGCTAATTTCTCGCTGTGAACGGAGAGCAGCTGCTCCTTCTCCTCCTCCTCGACGTCTGCAAGAACCTGCTTCGTGTCTGGTAAATATTCAGTCTCAGTTCTCAGACGTTCTGAAATCTCGGATAGTTTCATGTAGATTTGTTCTGTTTGAGGGTGGGATCTGTCGCCGGCCATGAAGTGGTTTGTGGTGCCATGGAGCTCTATTACGCTGACTCCGGGATTCTTCGGAACGCCATTGTTGGCCATCATGTTTCTCAGAGTAGTGGCTTCTTGCCAACGATTTGCTGTGGCGTAGATGTTGGAGAGGAGGATGTATCTGCAAAATAATTGCAGAGAGTGAAGATTAGTTTGGCTGCCAAGAGACCGTTTGCGGTTGCCCGAGATATCATTTTAAAAGTAATGATAGCTTTGAAAGTTAAAATAATGATCCGAGACATTGATATTTATAAATTAATCACTCTGATAATTTTTTTGAACAATGGAACCCATGTATTTATGAATGAGATGTTATATTTGGAGATGAATACAACAGAATCAAAACATCCAAATCTGAGTTCGCATGATCTAATCAAATCTTGGTTAGAAATATAATGAAATATTTTTAAAACTTGAAATTTTTAATGCTAATAGTCAAAACGATTGTTTCATTAAAAGAAATTTAAATCACATGAATCTTTAGATACTAAAATAGCCAAAGAAATTGAAAAATTTTCCAAAGCGGGGCCCACATCTTCCCTCCACTTCTCCTCTAGACCTCATGTAATGCACATGGAGGTGTCAAATCGGGTTCTGGTTTGACCCGGACCTGACATGAATATTTAATGGGTCAGGAAGTCCAACCAAATCCGAACCTGATGAATATTTAACGGGTCAGGAAGTCTAACCAGAACATGACCCTCATTCAACTCAGTAACCTAAACGTAGCTCGTATAACCCATTTAACATAAAACTTAATAACCATTCAGGTCGATTTCAAGCAATCTTGGGTTAATTTCAAAACCATTATGGGTAGCGGGTCAATTTAAGTTTAGTAGGTTAACCTAAAAAATTAAAAAGCTTAAGAGGTCAACCCAAACCCAAACTAGATCCCAACACCTCAGAATTACTGGGCTCGAATAAGCATCTGATTGGCAAACCACCTTTGGAATTAGCAGTCCTTGGTATCTTCTAGTGATGTTAAAATATGACCTATTATCTAAGTTATTTTAGATAACTAGATTCTCTAATTTTTTCATTCAACTACATTGGCTTAGTTGCATCCAGAACTTTAAGATAATACATTACATTCATAAATCAGAGAATTTATAGTTGATATGAATTCTATCATTACTAGTTGTTAGTTGATTGTCAGTCCTCACCATGATTTGGTTAAGTCAATCAGTTCACCAATGAAGAGAAAGCATGATTAGGTGCTTCCACTGGTGATAAGAATGAGAATAATTCTAAAATAGTTTTGGATAAAGACTGGATTACCTCATTGAAATCTATAAATAGACTTGGTTCTCTTTATTTTTCTACATCTATGAATAGACTTCGTTCTCCTTATGCTTCACATTCTAAACATGGCGTGCTAAGAAATCATAAAGAATACTGTAATCATGACAGACTTTTAGAGCCACTAAATAATCCCCTTGTACTCATGAGCTCATTAGATGCCCATAAACCACTAATGCTAGAATTTGACATTGATTTGGCCCCTTCTAGTATAAAAACAACTACGTCAACTACCTTCAAATATTTAAAGTTCAACAACATTTAACATCTATCAACAACGAACACTCAAAATTCAATTAGTAGGTGGTCGATCACCTTACTTAACAAGGACATGATCCAGCCGACCACTTCCTAACTTTTGACATTCATCAACATTTGAAGCCCACTAACAACAAACGTGATATATCTTGTCGAACAATGACATTCGGCGCAGCCTTGCCAGGTTGCTTACTCTTTTTTCATTTAAAAAAATGACGGAGTTGACTGCCTCTCAACACTAGTTGTTGTTCCTTACCAACACTGACTGACATCTTTTGACTTACATTTGTTGAGCCTAACTTCCAAAGTCAACTATGGTCAAGGTTGCCTGACTTCTTAGCCGAACAATGTCCGTTAGTGTCTTACACTTGATGCTAGTTTTTATACTTCAATCATTGACCAATGTCTGCCATTCGAGATTCCCACAACCTATTGCAACCTTAGGAAATAATGTCTACCTAAGATTTTATATTTTATTCTCATCTTCTCCAACTGTGAGGAGAGCGGATCCAAATCCTAAATCAGCAGAGGTGAATGAGACCAAGAGTACCTGCCACTGTGCTTTGGCTGAAGCCCAAGAAGCCGCCTTCCCACTTCCTCAGCCACCTCGCTGTTGCGGTGGATCCTGCAACCACCAAGCAACGCTCCCCATGCCTGCGCATTGGGCTGCATCGGCATTACTCGAGTTAACTCCATTGCTTCCTCTAACAATCCAGCACGAGCCAACATATCGATGAGGCAACCATAGTGCTCAACCTTTGGATCAACTTGATAGCTCCCCTTCATGCTAGCGAGCACCCGGCGGCCTTCTTCCACCATTCCAGCGTGGCTACAAGCGCTGAGCACAGCCACAAATGTAATGTCATCCGGCCTGGCGCAGCTTTTCACCATCTCGTCAAACAGATCGAGAGCTTCTGCAGCGAGTCCATGTATCGACAAGCCTGCCATAATGGCATTCCAGGCATGAACATCTTTGTGCTCGATAGAATGAAAGATTCCGATTGCTTCTGCTATTCTACCGCACTTGGCGTACATATCAACCAGCGCAGTGGCGAGAACTGCATCAAGCTCAACCCCACTGTCTCGAATGAAGGCATGGATGCGCTCCCCACGATCCAATGCCCCAATTTGAGAACAAGCCGATAACAAGCTCACAAGGGTGGCTTCAGTAGGTCTCATACCTGCGCATTGCATTTCGTCGAATAAAGCCAAGGCTGCCACCGAATGCCCGTTCTGCGAATAGCAGGATAGCATTGAATTCCATGAAATCACATCGCGGTTCGGCATCTCCGCAAATGTCTGGCGAGCGCCATCAACGTCCCCACACTTGGCGTGCCCTGCAAGAAGGCAGTTCCAGGACACCACGTTTCTTTGAGGCATTTCCTCGAACAGCTGCTTTGCATCATCCAGACAGCCCAGAACGGCGTACCCATTTATCATTGTGTTCCAGGAGATGACATCTCGACACTCCATGCGGTCGAAAACCGAACGAGCGAGGTCTACTTCTCCGTTCTTGATGAAACCATCGATCATGGCGTTACAGCAAAAAGCCTCGAACTTGGAGCAACCCTCAAACACCTTGCGGGCGGCGATGAGATCCATGGCGGAGTACATGTGAATCAGCGCGCTCTGTATGTAGGGATCGGGATCTAGCCCACCCTTGACGACATGAGCATGGATCATGAGGAGGTGGAGGAGTGAAGGGCATGACTTGAGAAGAGGGGGGAAAGTGTGGTTGTTAGGTTTGAGGCCTCGGCGGAGCAAGAAGCGGAAGAGGGAGAGGGCTTTAATGGGGGATTTCATGAGGAGGTGGAGGAGTGAAGGGCATGACTTGAGGAGAGGGGGGAAAGTGTGGTTGTTAAATTTGAGGCCTCGGCGGAGCATGAAGCGGAAGAGGGAGAGGGCTTTAATGGGGGATTTGCTGGTTGAGATGGAGTGGATGAGAGAGTTCCAGTGAAAGGGGGAAGGGTTGTGGAGAGCGGCGAGGATGGCGGAGGGGTAGGAGAGATTGGAGCAAGGTGAGAGGGAGAAGGAGGAGAGGAGTTGGGTGGCGGCGCGGCCGTCGAAGGGGTGGGGGTTGAGCTTGAGGAGACGGGCGTGCGCTTGTTTCAGCTGGGTGGTGGAGCGGCATGATTGAAGGTTTGGGTGGAGATGAATGGCTGCCGGCATGAGGAAGACACCTGAGGTGCATTTTAAAATGGGGGCATTTACATACGTACACGCCCAATTCATAAACAACCGCCTAAATTTTAATTTTTACATTAATACCATTCTAATCTTTCATGTCACATAAAAAATAACACCATGTTAATTTTTAAATAAGTGAAGTACACCTTTCATGCCCAAGGAAAAGATGATATGTGTGTAAAAATTGAACTTTGGGGGTTAGATATGTAAATACATAAGAATGGAGTGATATGTGTGAGTTCATGGTGAAATTACACTCTCAACCACAAGGTTTCAAGAAAATACACTAAATTTTCCTTTTAAATGACTAGTTTAATTGTGTTAGTTCTAGTACATGCAAATTATATTATGTGCTATTAATGAGTGTGTTCTTAGAGCTTTTCTTAGATTATCACCATCAAATAATTATATAGGTCTATGTGGGCTAAAGATAATAAAGGGGTGGATAAAAACTTGGTGAGAACATATCATGACTACCTAATATAAGAAGAAGGTGGTGCGTCGCAGCGCTGTGGTTGGTTGGTACCTTTTTCATTGTTCACTTAGGAATAGAAAATAAGAAGTTAAAATATTGTTATTTAGGTATCATTTGAAAGAACCATAGAAGATCCTTTAAAAGTCATATATGTTGAATGGAGAAGACTAATTGCAATCTAAAAAGACAAAATACTATCTTTCTTTCTATACAATTTTGGGAGACTTTCGAGAGACGCTACATCACAAAACGAAAGTTTTTCACACATCAGCATTCTCACTGCAATGGAACAGAGCTCCACCGTCTTCTCAATCGAACCTTAACTTAACAGATCATAAGAATATCATACTATATATTTAAAGAAGAGAACAATGAAGTTAGTAGATGCTTGATTATTGAGCACTTTGCATGCAAGATAATATATACAATTTGATTTATATTTTATTCACAAAATATATAGTACTAATTTATACACAATATTAGACTTTATATATTTAAGAATAAAAATATATTATGTACACAATTAATAGGGTTAATAGATTATGTTTGACATTTGCCAACTTTTGTTGGGTACTTTTTTGGCCCTTGAAGAAACCACTTTCACTTATTTGTCACACCTCACCGAGAACTTGGATGACTTAACTTGCAAGCTCTTTTGTGATTTTCTTTCCTTCTTTATAGTCAAGGGCTTTAGGAATATCGATAGGGGGTAGAAGAGGGGGAGAGCAAGTAGAAATATTGATTGAGATTAATAAGAAAAAGGTTGATAGAGTGATAATGGGAGGTGTATTTTTGATTTTATTTGAATATCTTGAGTGTCATGTATGTATATTGTGAAATTTCGGTGTTAAACATACAAATCTTAATATTTTAAGCGTAATGTATCTAAAGCACCCATGAATTTATGTTACAAAAAGGAGGATTACACTATCATCTTCTTGGAGAAATATGATGACTTCTCTCATACTTAGAACGACTCTTAATGTTTTGGCATGGAACAAGACTATAAACAACCAAGAGAACCAATGAGTTTATAGATTAATGCTATTCTTGGTGATGCCTCGTTTGATTTTAGTTGAATTTCTTATCAGAGGATGTGAATTGTGTCATGAAGGGCAAGTTTTATGGGGTAAACACTACAAGTTATTTAGGTAATGAGAAACATTGAATGTTATGTGTTTTTGAGTAATGAACGGTTCATGAGTTACTTTTCTCTCTTTTTTTTTGACGTTGTCACTTTTCACAAATATCTCTTCTTTAAAAATGACTTTCAATAATATTTTTTTGAAGTCATTGTATTTCCTTTCATTTACCAATCACTAGCTAAAATGGTATACATAGGGTGCAAAGACCATGCAAATAATATAAAAGTGAATAGAGTATAGTTTCCACTAGGATCTAGTGGTAAATATTTAAACAAATGAATATTAATTGAGAGTGACTCTATATTTTTATATAATAAACAGAAATTTAATGATAATTGGATAGAGAAATTTTATAAAACCTAAATTACACAATACTTTTTAAATTAAAATGGTAAGAAATAATTTTGTAACCATGGTTTGCCTAAATTATATCTACTAATTGATATGCTGAAGATTGTGCACTAAATATAATATTGATTAAGAGCATAAGTGTCTCCTAATCATTTAACCTGAAGGACAATGGTGCATAAAATGCTTAGATAAGGATATTTTTGCCCTATTTTGAGGATAAACGTTGAAGCCCTCCAAACAATGTTTCCCTAATCAACAATTTTGCCCCCATGAAGTTACAACCTTCATACAAATTGTAGTCCATATCTGCTCCACTATTTTCATTAGGGACATAGACATTATGGGGCCATTTCTAAAGTTTAGTGTTGAAAGCTTTGGTAAAGATAACAATATAGGTGGTGCACAAGTTTTTTTGGGGCCAATGTTATCCATAAATATGGCCTTCCTAGGCCATTCAACACAAAAATGGATCACGATTCTCGACCGAGAAGATTGATGTATTTTTTTAGTCTCAAGTTTGCCTCCGCGCATTATCCTTACACTGACATGCATATAGAGGTGCTAATTTTGAATTGTGCTAAGAAAGAAAGTTGAATGACAAGTGAGTTGAAGTACTGCCATTAGTACTTTGAGCTCTGAGGATGTCTTTATCATCATTGACATGTAAAAATTCTTTTGCTTTGTCTCTTGGAATGGAAGCACTTCATCTTAATTAAGTATAACGAACACAGTAGCTAAGCAACGTCTATACTTAACTTTTAAGAAGATGATTTTTCCAATTGGAAGGCAAGGAACCAAAAAAGGTATGGAGATTGTTGTTGACCTATAAGAACTAAAGGTAGAGGCCTCCATAAAATATGAAGGCCTTAAGAAAAAAATGAAAAAAAAAAAGTTGAAACAGCAAGAGATCATCTCCGTCCACATATAGGAGATCAGGGTGACCATACTCATGAACGATTCAATATAGATTAAGTAGGTGCATATCTATGGTAGTTCAATACACCTATCCTTAAAAGTAATTATATTCATGAACGAGTTTGGTAGATTCGTTGGTAACTAAGCCGAACTTGCTTGAATGGGAGGTACTCGCCCGACTTGGTTAAACATGTCTTCTTCCCATGGAAACTTGTCTAAAGCATAGAGAAAACCTCTTTATATCTAATTTGCCCATTAATCACCAACATGATCAATTAGGTCGCAGAAACCTTTGATGCGCTTGCCCCATTTAATTTCCCACATGCCCCTCATAATGCTCCCCCTCATAATGTCCACATATCTATAACTATCATATCATATATTAACATATTTAATTATCTTATATGACCTTTCTTATACAGCCTAAAATGGTATAAATAAGGGATTAAAGGGAACATATTGAAAACATGTATAATGCCTCATATTTTGACTTGAGAGATCTTTCTGTGATTGGTAACAAATGAATTTAAAAACTTCTAATTCTCATCAGATCATTTGAATTTCCCAATTGTTTCACCTTAAAACATGTACTTAACAATTTATCAGTAATCTCTCTTTGAATGAGATGTGAAGATCCCTTAACTGCATAATTTTAAGGATAAATTTACTCCCTTCATCACATCAAAAACATAACATGATTTTCTTGAAACATGGCATCTGCTTAAAGCCAGATTGTACAGAAAGAAGAAGAAAAAGCTACTTTAAAAAAGAGAAAAAAAAAAAAAAAAAAGCTGCAAATTGTAATAAGATACATAAATTTCAAAGTTGCAGAATTTCTGACAGTAAATTAGATTCAGCTGAAGAATTTACAACTGCGAATTAAAAGAAACAAGAACGACTGTTTGCAAAGTAAGAAATACACACAAAAAAATGGGGGAAGATTTACATACATACGACTCAATTGTTATTTATTCACATATCAAACATCTAAACTGCAAATTTTACATACATATCACCTTACCAATACATGAAAAGATGTATTTCACCTTTCAAAAGTTAAAATGGTGATATTTTTGACATGATATGAAAATTTTGGGCGGTACAAATGCAAACAAAGTAAAATTGAGGTTTTGTATGTGTAAATACATAAGAATTGAGAGGAATGGGTGTAAATGCCCCAAACAATTATTCTTTCAAAATAAACTTTTATACAATCACATAAAAAACAAAGCAATTCACTGACATCAACAAAACAACAGCGATGGCATCAAAACATTCCCAAAAGCTTCTTAGGAGCAACCCCAGTTTCACGATAATTTGCAGCCTTCTCTTCCACCTTGAGAATATCTTCCACACGCTTGGCCTCCACCATGGCTCTCTTCTCTTCTGCTTCCTTGTGAATCATAGCAATCTTGTTCTTCAACTTTTCTGCGTATTCGGCTTTCGTCCTTTCCAGGTCTTCCTGCTCGGTTATCAATTTTTGTTAGGTCAGTTCTTGAAGAATAAGTGGGTTGGATTACTTAGTCGAGTTAGAAGGTGTGATAAACTCCGATCAAGCTCTTTGCGAAATAGAGGATCACATAATCGTAAAAAGCACAGCTGAAGGTGGATCGAGTTGCTTAATCCTAGATCAACTAAGTCTTAAGAGGAAAACAATGAAGGGGCATTTACATACATACCGCCCGATTCTAATGTATTTACATATCTAATAACTAAAATTTGCATATATAAATATAAATATATAAATATATATATATATATTCTAAACATTCTTCTCTATGCATTGTAGTCAATTTTCAATTTTATGACCGTTTTAAAAGGAATACAAAACAACAATTATCTTGGCAAAAATAATGTTTAGCAAAAAATAGTGGAATTCATGTATGAGATGGTCGCCTGATGGTTGTGCATTTCTCCCGCACCAAAAGATCCCATGCTCGAAGCTCACCGACCCCAAGCAAAAGAAAATAGTGGAATTTACCATGAATGCCTCTGATATTTACGATCTTGCCCATGTAATTTATGCTTAAAATATTCAATCCTACAGGTTGTTTGGTCTTGTTTATCAGCTTAAGTTAGCATAAAATATTTAGCAATGCCAATGCGGACTTAAGTTAAAGGGGATAAGCTAAGTGCACCTCCATCGATGCTTAAGCTCACTGCGCTTAGTTGCCCGCTCATTCCTCCTCTATTTTCATCCCTTTATATCATCTTATCTCCTAAACTAGCTTCAAAAGTTTGTAGCTTATTTTCGCTTTCAATTATCAAGCAAACAGTTTTTTACAGCAATCAGACCAGCAATATTGCCTGATGTGAGAATTTGTATAGCTTGGAAGTAAGAAACTGATGATGTGCAATAGAAAGCAAATTGGTGAAGATGCTGGTTGTCTGGTCAATCTTGAGTCATCGTTTGGTGAAGCGTAATTTTGCTAGATTTGAGAAAATCCCACATGAAATGTTAATCTACTTCAATATCTTTGTTATGGCGTGAAAGATGGGATTATTGGCCAGAGGTACGGTAGAGATGCTATCACAGTTAATGGGTGTTGGGATTCTAAGTGGAGCTTTGAATTCCTGCAGCAGACGTTGTAACCAGGGAATGTCTGTGGTGGTCATGGCTAGGGCTATATTCTAGCTCTGTGGATGACCGGATCACGGTTGGCTGTTTCTTAACAAACCAAGAGATGAGAGTTGAGGCCAAGGTGCAGTAACCTGATGTAAACTTTCGATCAAGATGATACTTGGCTCAATCAGTATCTACATAAGATTCAAGGGAAATATCACTTGTTATAATGGAAAGACTGTGATTGAGGGTGCCTTTGAAGTAGTAAAGGAGTCTTTTGAGGAGTGTAGTGGTGAGTGAGGGGTTGATAAATATGTTGGCCAAAGAGATTAACAACAAAGGTGAAGTTTGCGTGAGTGAGAGTTAGATATTGAACGGAACCAATGAGGTGTTGGTATTGGTGGGGATCTAATAAAGGAGTGAAGGAGGTGTCCTAGGAGTGCGGTTTAGATGGTAATGGGTAAGAACCAGCTTCAATTGTAGCATGCCAGATGATTACAGAATATTAGTGATCTAGATGATTGACGGAGAAAGTAACCATGGGGAAGATGAAACATTTGAAGGCCTAAAAAAATTGGGTGATATGTCCAAATTTTTTGAGGTTGAATTCCATGCTTAAAGTGTGGATGACATTAGTGAGGGCGACGGAGGTTTGCCGGTGACAAGGATGTCATCCACATATACCAGTAGGTAGAGAGTTGTTTCATCCTGGTGATAGAGGAAAAGGGACTGATTTGCAGTGTTCAGGTGAAAACCATAGTGGACTTGAGTGCAGAAGATGGAGTACTACTGCTTGGAAGCTTGTTAAGAACATAAATGGCTTTTTATAGTCTATAGACGTGATGAAGACACTGAGGATTAGTGAAACCTAGTGGTTGTGACATGTAGAAAATTTCATCCAGTTTTCCAAGAAGGAAAGCGTTGGAGACATCGAGTTGGTGAACTAGTCATTTGTGGAAGGCTGTGATGGTAAGGATAATACAAATGGTAGGAAATTTGGAAACAAGATTGAATTTTTTGTTGTAGTCTAGACTGTATAGTAGTTTGAACACCTGAGACAAAAGTTTGGCCTAGTGATGGGTACTTATACTACGTTTTAAATGTCCATCTGCTGCCTAGAATATTATGATTGGGTGGAGGAGATAATAATGTCCAAGTACTTTGTCGCTAAAGAGTAAGGAATTCAGAGGACATGGCTTCTCTCTAGCGGGGAGTTTAATGGCTTGGGTGAAGTTAGTGGGATCTTATTGTGTGGGACTTGAGAGTTGGCAGTTGAGGTCAAAGATTCTTTTAGGCTTTAGAGAACTATCACAAAGCGGGTCACCATGAGACGAGGTTGTATGGTCGAAGGTGGATGGGATTAAGGATGGGAATATGATTACGTGGTGGTGGTATGTGAGAAGGGTGAGATGGTTGGGCCATAAGATGTTGATGTAAAGGTAGAGGGGTTTATAATTGTAGGATTTGGAATAGCGGTGAGGGGAAGTTGTAGTGTGGAGATGGGAAGACGTAGGTGATGTAGCAGATTGAGGTTGAGGGTTGGATGGAGATTGTAATAGTTGTTGATAAGGGAAGGAAGTCTCATCAAAAGACACTTGTCCGGTGATAAGCCTTTTGGAGAGGGTAATCATAGTAGCGATAGTCTTTATGGTTGGGGCTATACCAAAGAAAGATGTAGTGAGGAGATCTGGGTGAGAATTTGTGAGCTGTTGTACGTTGCTGTTGGTGAAAACATGAGCAACCAAATGAGCATTGATGAGTAATTTGTGAACAAAGATGAGATATGAGAAAGAGTTGGTGTACAAAGAAGAGAGAGTGTGAGCTTTGCATTGGGGGTGGTTAAGATGGCATTTCCAATATGAGTGATTTGAACTGATTGTACATTTCCTTTAGTCACTTGCATTGCACTAGAGTAAGGTGTGGGGTGAGGGAGAAGAAGCTCCTGAATCCAGAACCCATTCTTGTGCAGGTTGTGGAGTAGTGGAGATCAAAGTATTGTGGTAAGAAGTAGAAGAGGTTGTTGGCTTGTATTGTAGATTTGATATGTGCTAGCAGTTTGCAGCTGAATGACCAATCTTGAGACAAATTTGGCAAGTGATAAAGTTTTGGTTGCTAATGTTTGTGAAAATATTTGTTGTTTTATTGGTCAGATTTTTTTTAAGGTCCTCGACTTTCGAGTAGTAGCAAGAGCTAGAGGAGAGCGTTGTTTGGTAGATTTTGTAGCAAGATTGATTTCCCCTCTATGTAAGAGGAAATATAATTCATATAGGATAATGAGGTTCAGTTGAGTCCTGACAATTGTTTTGAATTCTTGGTTGGCGGGTGGGAGACTGTTGAGTAGACGAGATCTAACTGTTGCTATATTGTCAATGAGAGACTTTACAATGGAAAGATACCGAGTCATTGTATTGGTTACCATAGCTATATGATGAAGTTCATTTTTGGGTTGGATTACCTTTAATCTGTTGGATGACTGCAGTCATCTCTCAAGTTAATCTAGATGGTTGAGATGTTTTGAGGATGTAGAACAGATGGGAGAATGAGGCTGGAGATGGTGAAGAGTGTAACTGCTAGATTTTGATCAATGAGATGCCAAAATATGGAGTCTGGATTGGTCTGCTGCAAGCTTGAGTCTATGGAAGTGAATTTAGGTGGGCAAAGTATCGTTCTATTCAGAACTTATTCAAAAACAATTGGCCACGATGACTTCGAGAATTTGAGCCTTCCAAACATGGTAATTATCATTGGAGAGAGGAGAGGTGGAGATGATTTTAATATGAGACGTGAGGAATTTCAGGAGGCTGTTATGGAGATTTCAGTCATTTTGGTGGCGGAGTGATTGTTCTGTTGGCTAATTTGAGCCAAGGATGCATCAAATGGATCCATATAGAGGAGAGCTAATAGCTTTGATACCAAGAAGAGGGAGAGAAGTGGGAGGTATAGAGGAGCAATGATGAAAGATTACAGAGATCAAACTAGTAATACCATGATGTGAGAGTTTGTAGGTATATCTCATCACATTAAGTGTTTACACTATTTGCAGTTTTTATAGACAATGACAAGGATATAATGATGAATTGGTAGAGTACATCTTGTGGTTGAGATGAGGTGCGGTTGATTTACATCTATGACAGTTGGGTAGATTGATATAGGGAACGACAAGCTCCATGTGCTGCTAATATGAGAGTTGTTGTGTATAGCTATAACTGGTTGTAGAAATATCTTAATAAAGGCCATAGTGATTTTTATTTGCAATAATGAAAAGTATATTATTCAGTACTAAAGGATGTGGTTGATTCATTTTGTCTATGTTTTCTTTAATATTCTCATCCATTCTTCTAGGCAAGCATGTTAACATTATTTTGTGACTGTTCATTCCTTTTTTTTTACCTTAATATTTTAAAGAGAAGCACTTATTTGATCGTTTACTTTATACCACCCCCACTCTCTCTCTCTCTCTCTCAAAAATAAATAAACATTAAAATAAGTAAATAAATAAACGTTAAAACAATAGTTCATATATATATATATATATATATATAATTTGTTATAAATGAAATAATCTTATCAAGCATTAAAGTGAACAAAGCAAGACGTGATACCTGTATCTTTCTCAATTCAGCTTCTACTGATGCTTTCTTCGTGTTCTCCCATGCCATGATAGCATGCATATTCTTAACTGCTCTGTTCAAAATAGTAGGAAGTTTCTAATGAGAGTTTAATTTAGATAATTCATCCGCAAAGTTAATAGTTATTTATGCAAACACTGTGCTACTAAATGTGGTGCAATATCAGAAACCTAATTACAGGGTACAATCCTGATGGAAACACAAAAGTTCATTTGAAGGCATGTGAGGATACCAAGCACTTGGCTTCAACCCATCAGCTTAAACTTGTGGGAATATAATAATGTATGGACCAAGCTTTGTCCCTTTTTTGGTCCACAAAACCCTAATAGCACACGATTCTGCTAATCATAACAACAAAACTGAAATGAGAAAGTAGCAAGGCTTGTAGCATTTTGGGCAAGAGTTCTAAAACAAATCGTGCCAAAATGCTTTCTGCACAAAAATGCCTTAAAAGAGCTTTTATTTGGTATACTGATTCTTTGTTATTTAGTAAATACAGTATGTAGAGCACTTATCACAAAAAGAATCAAACCACACACCCCCATGAGAACAAACAACAAGCAGGCATGTTCACCCAATTATCAAACCATCTAAACTTACAAGAAGTAAAGTATCAATGCACACATTAATACCAATCCAATTTGTATATAACATGCGCGTCGGGGATGCACTATCCTAACATAAGCCAAAAGAATTAAGTTCTTGATTGCTACCGAGATAATATGATATGAGATTACAAAAAATATCCAAATAGGTTCCTAGACTATTTTTGCATATTTATCTTGATCTAAAACCTGTGTTATTCTCCCATTTAATTTCTAAATTTATCAAAATTTGACTCACTTGTTCCTTTAACATGATTCTTTTGGTCCTTCAACTTGATTCATTTAATAAGTTGAATCAAAATGGAGAACAAGAAAATTGTGAAAAAAGATGAATACACTCAAATGGTACTGGAGATCAATTTAGTCATTTTTCTATGAGTTCCTGCAGAAAGTTGATTGCACTACTCGATAACTAATAAGTGTATTGTATCTTTAGTCAGGAGCAATGCAAGAGTTCATAAACAATTGAAAAGGTGAAGTACTAGATTAGCTGAATTTCCAGGGACTAAAACTTAAAATGACAAAAGCTTCAATAATATGACACTGCTTACCTAATTATCTAGGGTCTCTCATAAATTTTAAAATGGAGAAAGTATTAGATGCAGACTACATACGTAGTTTTATGTGCATTAAGCAGGAGTATATTGTCCCACTTTACACACAAAGAACTACATATGTACTCTAATTTCTACTTAAAATGTGTCATCAATGCTAATACGACACCGCTCACATAGTAAAAAGCTTTAGGGTGCGCAACTTTTGGATGTTTAAACCATGTTTTGCGTCAAAATCGAGTTTCAGTAGTTTGCTTGCAAATTAAACCAAAACAGCGCGTCGCGGAGAAATTCCGATCCATGGAAGCCAGGCAGAAACAACGTCCCATGATTTAGAATTTTTCTATCCAAAAAGATCCGCCGAAGTTAGGCGGGGGTACACACATACCACAAATTTCTACAGTAAAATTATGCTTAAAAATTAATTTACATGCATTAGAATTAAAATGATGCTTTAAAATTAGTTTACTCGAATACCACAAAATTCTTATTAAAATTAATTTTTATGTGATATGCTTTAAAATTAGGATAAACTATGGTTATGACAGAATTCTTTTTTTATTATTATTAAAAAGAAAATAAAAGCATAATTAAAAATAAAATAAAATATAATATAACATTAATAAATAGGTTTTATTACATTTATAATAATTTTTTATTGTATACATACAACCTAATTCCTATATATTTACATATCTAACACCTAAACTACATTGTTCACATTTATGCACACCTAAATTTAAGAAAATAATTTTTTTAAAAATTTTATTTCTAAAATTTAGCACTCAGTTGATTCTATAATTTAACTTTTGAGTTTCCGTTTGTATTTCTATTTGTTCATCTTGAACAAATTTATGAAAATATGCTATTCAAACAGACCTATGAATTCTATATAATATGTATAGAGAGGTACTTCAGATATTTGTCCACAGACAATACTTTCAAAACTATATTTTTCAAACAGACATACTGTTTCTGAAACACAAATGTGTGAACAACAGATTTTCTATAACAGTTTTTGAACTGAGACTTTGTACAATCACAACCGAAACAAATGCACCATTCGGATATTTTAAAATTTGACTTATTAGTTATCATATCATAGTAATTATCCTTTCTAGTAAATTAGGCGGCCATCATTCACTTTAAAGGTAAAATAAGCAAAAAAGACAACTGAAGGTGGCATTCTAAGAAAATAACAAGGTAAGTAACTCTATGTAGAAGGAACGAACTTGTTCTCAGCTTTGATCTTCCCACTATCTTCCCAAGCCTTAATTATAGACATTCTTTTCTGAGTTTCAACTCGTGCAAGAACAGCATCTACAAGTGCAAGTAGATTATTTTTAAATTAGATTTTCCTAAGATGATACTCAATAAATGAAATCATATATAAATAAGTAAATTTTGTCAAACTTGCATCTATCAGTGGAACCGCCATAGCTTTTCTCAGTTGATGGAGGATCTACAATCTCTGCTAACAAAAAAATAAAAAGCAAAATATTTTGATTTAATCACTTGCCAAGCAAAACATTAAACATAATTAATGCGCCATAGTCATCAAATGAGTGAGAGAGTTTCAACTGTCGAGCTTGATAAAAAGCTGATAATTATATGAAGCTAAAAAGTTTCATAAATGGATAATTTTAAGAGGCTGAGCTAAAGTAGAGGGTCTCTTTGGCAGGAGGTGATATTCTGTTCGGACGTAATATTTTTTTCTGAATTCAAACCTTCAATCTCTTGAGAATATAGGGCTTCAATCTTTAAATCATTAACTTGTTTGGGAAGTCGTTTTTATGAGATTTTTTTATTTAAAATATCCTACATATGTGATTAATAAAAGGATAATATGATCATCAAATTGCAAAATAGAAAATAATCATGTCTTTTTAGATTAATTTACCCTAATTTTCATGAATTACAGTTAATCAAAAGCAAGCAACACCACAAATAGTAAATACTACAAAAACAAAAGCCTTACCTCTTCTCCATCCAAACTAGGGCACACCGAAACCAGAAGAACAAATAGAGACAAAGAAGAATTCTTACTCTCAAAGACGGCCAGTGCTTTGCCCTCATCAGGCTTCTCCACCGGAGATGTCGGAATCACCGATTTATCCTCCGACACGTCCATCGGAGGAGGATCAAACCGTCCCGGCGCCGGAAGAGCACTCTCCTCAGCGGACCTACCGACGACATTCTGCACTTCATCTTCCCCCATTCTCACGCCTCGTCCTCGCTTGCAGTTTCTTCTTCTTCGCCTCCAACCGAACCCCGCTTACTATATATCTAAAAGCAATACTTTTTTCCTTTGTGAGAAGAAATATTCATGTCATAAAGGGCTATCTGAGGAGGAAGAAGGAGAAGAAATTGGGGGCTTTTGAGGTTCGTCCAATCTCTTGTCCGAACGTAGAAGGGAGAAAAACGCATCAGACGCATTAGGGATCCGCGGGATGAAGAAACAGCTTCTTCAATCATGGAAGCGCGGGTCATTTTCACAAGGACGCATCAGTTGAACGATTAAAGGGATTATTATAAGATTACGGCATCCCTGGACATCAGCTGATATATATATATATATATATATATATAGACACACACACACTATGTGAAAAATTTGAAACACATGTTAAAAATGAGTTGAAATAATTTTATTATGTTGAATAATTTCACTATGACGACGACCAAATAACGATGGTCCCACAACGATGATAGTGGTCCTGTGCCACTCAATGACTATTCAGGGATGGTGGCGGCTCCTCGATAATAGTGGCATGGGGACGACAATGGGCAGGTAATGGTGGCAACCAAGCTATGGTGTTTTGGCGACGACGACATGGCAACCATGCGATAGTGGTTCTACTATGGTTAATATTGGTCTAACGACACCAACAATGGCAATGATTTTGACCAAGGCAATAGCTTTTCGACAATGGTGGTGGTGGGCAGGCAATGGTTGTCCAACGAAGGCAACTTCGCGGTGGATGGGCAATGACATTCAAGTGACGATAGTGATAGTAAGGCAATGATGGTTCTATGATGGCGGAACTTGATGATGGTGATGATGACAGTGCTAGCTGATTGATAGTGGTCTGACGATGGCAACATGGTGGTGGTGGGGGCGAAAGCGAGGCGACAACATTATAACAACTATACTACTGATCGGGCGATGCATGATCAACAAAGGCGGTGTCTAGGCGATGCTGATGGTGATTATTATACAATTTTGATTGTAGTGATTGAGTAGTAGAGATCTGATATGGTGGAGCTCGACAACAATGACAACGGTGGCAAAGCTGTAATAATCAACCACAATATTTGAACTTGTATTTTATTAATAAATGCTCCAGTTTTTCCATTAAGTTGTTTTTTTTTTAATTTTGTTTTGAACTTTAAATCATTTTCAAAATAATTGATTAATAAATCATAAATAAATACTATAAAATATATAAAAAAAATTTTGACCTTTAAACTTTGAATAATTTTTACAACTTTATTATAAGCCTGATTGATAAACCATTTTTATTAAAATAAAGAAAGTGATGAAATTTATGTTATTATGATTTTTTTTTTAATTTTTAGTATAAATTTAAATAAAAAAAATATATGATCACTAAAACGACTGTAATCTCTTAAGAAGATAATCTATTTATCTGTTTGACATCCATTTTTCAAATCTTTTATATCATAATATACTAAACAAGATAATCTAACTTATGACTATTTTTTCATGATTTTTTGGAGTAATGGAAAAAAAAAAAAGGTTTTATATGAACTTTTCAATTTAAATCAAATAAATAATAATTTCACATATACTCATGACACTTTTTTATATGTAAAATCCACTAAAGCATTTCCAGAACATTCATTCTGGGCTTTTTTTACTTTGATAAACTGTGAGAGAAAAAGACGGTTTAAGAGACAAAAAAAGATGGAGAGAAAAAAATAGAAGTTTGGTTTTGGAGGCCGATTGTCTTGATTTTTTGGTATCAGACCAGTTGAGAAAATTGGCTGAGTGAAGGTAGATTATCGTTACCCTACCTTTGAATTCAATGATTTTTGTCGTTTTACGTATTTTCTAAACTTTTAGCTGTCTAAAACCTGCAAAATTGATGTCATCTACATAATTTGTAAACTTTCACAGTGTAACTTTTAATATGCTTTTGTCCTAGTTATTCTGCACTTTTTGTCAAATGCCATCTCCATAATTTCTATTTTGATTGATGCATATAGTTGGTCATATTATTGCATATTGTGAATCTCCCTATTTTGTTGTACATGCATGGTTTACATATACACCATTATGTTGATGATATTATGAAATGTGCGTGTAAGAAACGCTAGCTATTATGATTCAGATTGACGGAGATATGTTACCCTTTGTAGGAGGGTAGGCTGACGAGATTTACTTTAAATGGGTTAGTGGTTTAAACTCGATACGTGTTGAGAGTTATAAAAGGTAAATATGATATGATATGAGTGCCGATGGCCCAGGGGTGTCGACTTCTGTGTATTGTGTCACTTGGCTGACTGTTCTAACAGTTTTTACTAACATGATATGATATGATACTGCAACAGCTTTGCTATGATTGATACATAAAAAATACCACATATGATTAGTTAGATAAACTAATTTGTAAATTTGTGATGATAGTTATGCTTGATTATATGTAATTTATATATTGTTATTATTTTGATTTCATATTATATTGCGGATACATGTTTTACAGTGTACATATGCATGTTAAATGGTCTACAAACTTACTTGTTTAGCATACTGAGTTGTTCATTTTGGTTGTTTTTTACATATTTTCAGGAAAGAGTAAGGATCCGGTGGAGTGAGCAGTTAATACTTGCAGATAGAGGTATATTTTATATATGTATTTTGTGATTATGATCAACTTGTATGTTTTGTTGGGATTATTAGAAGTTCACAATTAATGTATATAAATGTTTTGGATGTGATAAATTTTGCTTTATATAAAGAAAATGAAATTATGATGATCTTTAGTATGATTTTTATACTATTATTGATGACTTAATGACTCTGTGTAATGAAAAATATAAGATAAAATAAATTCCTTCCAAATATATCTCGATCTAAATAATTTGCTGCGCATTTGACCGAATATAATTTATTACTGTGTATGGGTTATATTAGGTTGGGCTGTGACATAAGCAACAATGGTTTAGTAGTAGTGGAGCTCGGGAATCCTCAAGAGCTTGAAGCACTTTTTAGTCTTTTCATCTAGATTTAGGTCCTCATTTATGAAGAGAATAGAGGCCTATTTATAGATTATGGGAGTGTCATCATCAATAAATGCTCTTTGAATCCAATCAACTACATCGAATGACCCAGAGTGATTTTTTTGATCAGATGATAATTTATAAATATTTGAGCATCTTAATAATGCCAGAGATAAGCAGCTATTGGTGTCACTTTAAGTGAATGATGTGTGGACCATATGTTTAAAATCTACTATTGTATTTCACTTTTATGCGCGGAACAAGACTCAAAACAACTGTCTCGCGTGACGAAGGGAAAATTGCATCATTGGTATGCATCGTTGGTGCATACACATTTCAGCGCACGCACAATTTACACACACACACACACACACACTCACGATTTGAAGTCCCCACGCGCCCCCAATCCAGTCCTTGCGAGCGCAATCCACAGACACACAAACTGGCGCAGTCAACAAGCATGCACTCACATGTAGTTCGCAGCCGATATAATTTTGTGCTCAAATTTGTCACACGCTCCTAAAATAATCTTTCTAATCACTTTGTTAACATCATAATGAAATTGAAACTAAAGCTTCTATTAACGTGATGTATAATGCCATTTAGTTGTTTAATTCAGTTCGACTTAGTCTCATAAAATACATTTTTTACGATCAATCAAGTTTTTCTTCAATGAGACCTAATCAAACTAAAGCTTCCATTAACGTGATGTATAATGTCATTTAGTTGTTTAATTCAGTTCGACTTGGTCTCATAAAATACATTTTTTAGGGTCAATCAAGTTTTTCTTCAATGAGACCTAATCAAACAGGGAATTAGCTGTACCCATTAATTGGGGAATACTTCATGAAGACTTAGCTGTGCTCCAGTTCTGCTTTGTATATATATATATATATAATTAAATATTAATGATAATTTATTGAAAATAAAAGATAATTAGAATCAAAATAGAGTTTCTACTGACTTTTTCAAAGAGTTTAAAAGGCTGAAAATTCATTCAGCTGTGTTCGACAGAGCAACATCTGTAGTATATTTATATTCATATTTTTTTCATTCCTATGACCATGTTCATAGTAATTATAATACTCTCAGCATTTTCACAAGTAGCACAAGATGACCTAACTTTGATAAATTTGACACGACAACTTAGCAAACTCACTCTTCTGGCTTCAACCGGTTCATTTAAATTATACTTAAAATATCAATTCAAGTTAGCCTGCTTGAGAAGAACATTTCGCCTAATGAATTTGACGAGCTAATCAGCATGTCATTGCGACTTCATCAACTCACCATATAGTCAAATAGTACAATATTATTTAAAATGCACTGCACCACTTGCTGGATGATTGTTATTATTTTAATGTGTTGAATATAAAATCGTTTGGGAGACACGCCCAAGGAGTAGAGCACGAAAAGGAGAGAGAGAGGGAAACAAAGAGAGCAAAAGCAAAGGTATAGGACAATAGAATTTCGTAATCTTTATTCAAGAAATGAAACCCCTATTTATAGGGATTGGGTGCGTACAATTATATTTTGTACCACTAATATACAGAGATATGACGGGTGTATTTCAGTCAGTACATGAATATAAGACCGGAAGCCAAAAAAGGAGCCTGACCGATGGGGTCGGAACTCCAAGGAGGCATCCGACCCAATAGGGTTGGGAGCCTATGGAGGCCTCCACCCGGTCTTTTGAGACCGGGAGGCCATTCGCTGGGTACCCGAAGACACTACTTATTTGGCTATTGCTTGAGGGTTTATGCTTGAAAGATGGGCTGAGCAACTGAAGCCGACTGCTTTGGACTCGAATGGTTTGACTCGATCGCCTAACATGGGTAGAGAGAAAGTTGCCGAACTTATCCATGGGAGTGGTGTGCAAGAGGACTTTCAGAAGAATGGTCAAATTATGTTTTTCTAGAGATTATCTTCCTTCCGACCTGTATGAACTGACTTACCAAGTGTGAGATTTTCGATCGTTCTTGATGGGTCCTAGGATTCCTCTTTATCTCTTCTGTCGGTCATCAGATTTCTTTAAGATTTGTGTTGGCACATTTCTAATGTGCATATTTATATTATCTAATTCTCTTGTTCTTTGATAGCCAAGATCCCTATAAATAAAAGAGAATGGGAGAAAAAAAACTCTTCTCTTTTTGGCCTTTCTTGGTGTTAGTTGGCTTTCTTTGTGTTGTCAATGATCTTGGAGGAAAATTCCCCTTCGAAATCGGCCAAGTTCAATAATGATGCCCTAAAGAAAGTTGTCTAGGCCATGAAGCTATAGGCGAAATCTTCCTCTCAGTCCCG